ACTCTCTACTGCAGATAAGGTGTAACAGTCGCAACAGCCTGTATTAGCACATGTTTCAGTATGTACCTGCAGTATGAAAGTAGGTGGAGGCTGTAAATTCTTTCTTATACTAAAAGTGATATATTTTGTTTTGTTAAGATTTAGAGTTAATAGATTGCAGTCAAGCCAGTTGGTAATAATTTGGATTCCCGTCTCAGCCACTGCCTTAACTTGCGTCCATGACGAGTGTTGAAATAAAATGACAGTATCATCAGCAAAAGTAATTATTTTCATATTGGGTATTTGAATGTTGCATAGACTGTTTATATAAATGAGAAACAATGTAGGCCCCAGCACAGATCCCTGTGGAACACCGAAATTAACTTTTAGCTTAGAACTATAACCATTTCCAATTTTCAGTGTTTGCGTCCTATTAGTGAGGTAATCTTCGAGGAGATCCAGGGGTACACCTCTAATGCCTATAGACTCTAATTTGCGAATCAGCAGAGGAATTGATATCGTATCAAAAGCCTTACTTAAATCAAGGAACGCACCAATACATCTTTTTCTACAGTCCAGATTTTGCGCCACATTTGTAACTAGCTCCTCAATAGCGTCCGAGGTAGATTTATGTTGTCTAAAGCCGTATTGATTTATAGATAGGATCTTATTATTTTCCAGATAACTAACTAATCTCTTGTTGATAATTTTTTCCAAAACTTTAGCCAACGTTGGCAGAAGTGAAATCGGTCGATAATTAGTGATACTGTCCTTTTCACCAGACTTGTATACTGGTATTACAATGGAGTCTTTTAGGACGTCAGGAAATCTGCCATTAGATAGACACAAATTCAATATACGCACCAGAGGTCCAGTAATGAAGTGCACATTTTTTTTTAAGAAATTGGACGATATGCCATCCCAACCTGTCGAATTAGTATTTTTTAGCGACATTATGATTTTATGTACCTCAAATTCATCAGTTTCTAGCAGCATAAATGAATTCAGCGGCGTGTCATTACATCTAAAGCTTTCCACCATCTCGGCCTCAGACAGTTTTAATTTTTGTAAAATATTATTTGCTAAGTTAGCACCTATGTTAACAAAAAAATCATTGGCGTAATCAAGTGATTCCTGATATGTCGATTTAACGCTCAGCAATTCGGAAGGCTCTTTAGCTTTCTGAGATGTATTCAAATTGCATACATTTTTTACAACATCCCAAGTCTTTTTAATATTGTATTTGTTTTCATTTAAGGTATTTTTATTGTGCTCGTTTTTTAATTTATGAAGAATATTATTACAATGATTTCGATATCGTTTATAAGTTAGCTCTAGGTCTTTGTCACTTGGTGATTTTAAATGCCTTTTATGCAATGTGTCTCTGAATCTCATGCAACGCAATAGACCAGAAGTAATCCACGGTTGGCCTATTTGCTGACGGTTCGGTATTGCAATCAGTTGAGTGCTTTTTTTAACAATAGCGGATAGGGTTTCGATAAAGTATTTGGTTGCTGTGTTAGGGTCCGATATAGATGTTATTTTTGTGAAATCAAATTTATTCATCAGATTGTGAGCTGTATCATAATTAAGTTTTTGAACCATTCTATTTCGTTTCAAGTATTTACCACGCTGCTGACACAAATTTACATTTAAATACAAGCTGCTATGGTCAGTCACCGACGATTTACAAATGACGGTTAACATTTTCGAGTTAGATTTTATGAAGCAGTGATCAATACATTTGTCAAGGCGAGTAGGAAAGAAATGACTCGGCAAAAGACAGTGGGTTGCAAGTAGGTCTAGATACTCATCAGATTTGGGGTCACTGTTTTGGCTGCTAATATCAATATTAATGTCTCCAGTTAAATAAATGTTAGGTATGCGTTTCAGCTTAAGTAACAATTCATCAAGGGTGCTAAGAAAATTTGCTATGGAATCAAACGAAGGCGATCTATACAAACAAATAAACACGTTATCTTTATCAATTTCCACCACTAAACAATCAGCATCTACGATCTTTGGTTCGTATACTCTAACATTTTTCAAATCACTCTTAACATAAATAACAACACCGCTGTTCTGATTAATATGCATGTTGGTATTGTACATGTCATATTGTTCTATTTTTGGGATTAAATCAAAATTTTGAAGCCAGCACTCTGTAAGAATAATGATATCGTAATCCACCCCACTCCTTGCCATAAGAATTCTAAAATCTTCCAAATTTTTATTTATGCTACGAATATTTTGTACAATAATTTTAAGAGAAGGTATACCAACAAGTTTGCAAAGTGAAAGTGATTCTGGATCCTCAACCAAAAACGAATCTCCAACGTTGATATTGTTATCAACGTCGGTAACAACATCCATAACACTGTTAACCATGGTCAGTCAATGAATTATAATAATTGAAGTAATGATTCAAAGTATTTGGTTGAGGATGGCAGTAACCGATACTGGTGAGAGTACTCTTAGATTTGCAAGCTTTAGACATATTTTTACCATATGTGGACAAGAAATAGTGCAACAATAATCCAATAATATAAAATAAACATAGGTTGTGAATAAAATAAAAATTAAAATACATGTACTTATGATATCCATTATGATAGCTATACAGATCAAGATCATAAGTTATCAAGAAATTAAAAATAGCAATAAGCCGGAGTGTCGGCAAACAAAGAACACAACCGCAACATAGTAAACGCAAAAAAAGAGTATAGAAACAGAAAAATACAAAGACATGCAAAATCTCTTTGTAAGAGATGATAGCAACAACAAAAGATAGTCATGTGGACCGCAGCGCGATCAAGTCCTCCTCCCGGTGAACTCTGATGCGTTTGGCATCTTCTTGCTTACGCAGAAATATTCTTTGATTCGAGGTCCAACAGAATTTAAAATTATTTTGTTTGGCAAATTCCCTGGCTTTGTGGAATAGTCTTCTACCATTTCCTGGTAAGTGTTCGGAAACATAAATGGGTTGAGATTGTCCCTGAATGCCAATCAGACTTGTATTAAGCTTAAGTCCTACTTCTTTATTTTTATTGTAATTACGTGTAGACACAAGAAATTTATTTTTCATTATAACAGTACCAAGCTCAGCAACAATAGTTTTGCTTGTGGATTTACCAGGAAGGCGATAAGCGTCACGAATATTAGACTGGTTTATATCTAGATTTAGGGTCTTTCCAATATTCAATACGTGTTGAACAATGTTATCAGTCGTCTCGTTTTCCCTCATTGGAATATTGCGGAGCTCAATGCATGACGATCTAGATCCAAATTCCAAATCCTCAATCCTTTTTTGGAGCCCTTCTGTATAATTGTTACATTCCTGTCTTTCTTTTTCAATAATACATAATTTAATCTTCATGTCCTCATAATTGTTCTTTATTATTTCAATCGATTTCTCAATCTCACAATAGGCTTTTTGTATATTTTCATTCTGCACCCTAATCTGATTGACATCTGCCACCAGCCTCTCCAACAGTGCAGTCTGCCCTGATCTCAAGGACTCGAACATGTCCCGCATTTCAGTATACACAGCGGTGAGGTCGGTACTTGGCGAAAAAGATTCTGTACGAGGCCTTTTAGGACGCGCAGTGATATTGAAAGTTTCCTCATGCATTGCTTTTGGTATGTTCGAATCTGACTGGGACAATATTGGGGCGGTCGGAGTAGTCGGTGGTGTACGTTTCAACGGCATTATACTCTTCTAGTTCCACTTTACGAGTATAATAAAATCAAAGTGTGATTGTGTTATTCGTTGATTATATTATTGAGGTGTGACTTACGAGATAGATAAACTTGCTTGATATACGGTCCGAAGCTTACAACGCACACACAGTCGCGAGAAGAAGGTCGCAAGCGCCGTGGAATGCGTGTCGCTTACGCGTTACGTTAAACTACTGCTCACTAACCGTTTGCGTCGGTAGATGTGTATTTGATATAAACTTTATTTACACATTTAATCAATATTAAACACTTCTCGAAAACAATTCATATTAGCAATGGTTCACTGATGATTAAAACTTTTCACTTTTAATTACAGTTAAAGTTTAAGCGGCTTTAAACTATTTGTATTGATACACATACAGTATAGCAAGTTGTACCGTGTTACCGGCGCGGTGTTACGATTCAAAATCCAAAAAATTATTTGAACTTGTTGACGGGGTGGAAAATTCCGTCGGATCTGCGGCTCCTTGGGGATGTGGTGTTTCCACTAAAAACCACTCCGAAGGCCGGACTCAGGCGCCCTACTCCGAGGAGGACCCGGACCATGTTATTTCAGGCCCTATACCGGGGAAAAGAAATGCTTTAGTCCCAACGTTTGTATACGGATAATTATTTCTCTACAAATGAATCTAGCATTCAAATACTCGTTTAGGAAATTTTACCACAGTGAAATTAATTAGTTTTGTTTATGGAAAAGGGGGCATACAAGCAGACGGGTCACCTGATGGAAAGTGACTACCGCCTCCCATGAACGCCTGCAACTCAGGAGTCACAAGCGCAGTGACGGCCTTTAAGGAACGACTAAGCTCTTTAATAGTAATAAATTGGAAAACTAACATTGCGTCTAGTAAGAAGTGACTATCGGTGTCTATGCAGGATTACAACAAGGTGTGGTTTTATTCCTATATCCCTTAGAGCGAATTCTTTTGTCTGCTAGCACATTTAACCATGGGCTTTCGTAATGAATTTCTATTGTGTCATATTTTTGACGGGCCTGTTCGTCTAGTGGTTAGTAACCCTGACTGCTAAATCGGAGGTCGTGGGTTTGATTCCCACCCAGGACAAATATTGTGTGATGAGCACGGTTATTTGTTCTGTGTCTGGGTGTAATTTAGCTATAATATGTATGTATTTAGAAATATTTAAGTATGTTTATCAGCAGTCTGGTTCCCATAGCACAGGTTCTGCCTAGTTTGGGATCAGACAGCCGTGTGTGAGATGTGTGAGATATATTATTATTATTATTTTCGTCCCCAGGTGATATCTTCGTTCTTGTCTTCGCAATGGATAGTCGAGAATCTTTCGAAGAAGTTATCCGTTTGAGAGAACAGATCTTGGAGACCAAAGCCACTGCTACCAGTGGGAGTAGTAGAGGAAAACGACAAGCGCCAAGAGTTCCTATGGCGATAGCAGGAAACAAAAGTGATAAAGAACTTAAGTGAGTTATTTTTACAGTTATACAGAAACAATATTTTTCTCATGTTTTAGCCGTCTTTTTTCTTCTTCTTCAGAACTTTCAGATGCGGTTTTACTAAAAAAAAACCTACTGTGTTAGTAAGAGATTCCTATACCCTTAATTTTTCCGGGCTTTAACCCTCCAAGATTTCATTAGAAATTTTGACTCTAGTACATTGAATCATGGTATTAAAGTTAACAGTTTTACTCTACGGTAATCACACAAACAGTTGTATCTTGTTAGCAAATGAATTTCTAAATGAAAAAAAATGAAAATCTAAATGATGTACTAAAGTATTATATTAAATACAATTTACCTACATATTTTTTAATGACACTTTTTTGTACACAGGACTGTTACACCAGAAGAAGCAATCGCTTACTGCAACACTCAAGACTCAGCGTGTGTCTTTATCGAAACATCCGCCAAAAAGAACTGCAACGTAGAAGACTTGTTCTACGAACTCTTCATAGTATCTAATCTTCCCCTAGAAATGGCCCCAAATCACCACAAAAGAGTTAGTACAGCATTTGGAAGCCCTTGCACTTTACCTCCAACAAGTAGCCAAAGCAGTAGAAGTAAAAAATGTACTCTTTCAATAAAGAGACGTTTGTCTGACGCTTGCGGTGTGGTTGCACCGAACGTCAGAAGACCAAGTATTCGCACAGATTTAATGATAATGAGAACAAAGACTTGTGCCAAAGGAGACACGGATAGTGCCAGCGGTAGTCCGAAAATCACGCTAAATAGATTTGTGAGGTCTTCTGGACAAACTGAAAAGCGATCATGTGCAGTGCAGTGATACAGTTTGTGGTTAGATATTGGACAAATTTATTAATGGTGCCTGATCAAAGCTTGTGTATAAATGTGCTAAACTAATTAATATCTCATTGTGATTTATTTTTTAATTGCAGTCTTTTCAATTACAAGAATTAAAAAAATGACAATTTTTTAACCAATTTATGTAGAATAAAATACCACCGGTACTTAAATTGGAAATTGATTAATTTAAGTACGTTACGTATATGATGTGTGTTAAAATATTGTGTGTTTTATAAAATGCATACTATGACAGTGATATTGATACTAAAAAAAGTTGAAATTTTAAAAGTAAAAATATATTTTACTTATTGAGAAATATGCGTGCTTAATATTGAAAGATGGCGAGGAACAGAGAGCTACCAATTGTATTGCCCTTATCCAATAGTATTTATTATACTAGCCAGTGAGGTTACACGTAGTTTAGTACATTATAAAGCAAAATTGGCACAAAGTCAAAACATGGATGTTTGAATTGTGACAGGTGCTAAAGAATAAAAAATTTAAGAGGTCGAGCATTTCACATTGACCTAAGAAAGTGGTATATATATAGGTAAGTAATATAATATATACAAATATATAAAAATTGAATTTAATAAAGCATGCTATTCTGAAAATTTTGAGAATCTGAAATATAAATATTTTTTTTGTATGTTTGTGTTTTTTTGGTGGTGGTGTCATTGACTTCATTTACAAGAATTTATGAACAGACCTGTCTGAAACTGAAAAATAAAAGCATGTTAGTATCTCTGTATATGATTATGCATTTTTTATGTTTAACTTAATCCTCACATAATATTACATATCATATCTAGATCTTTTCGATCAACTTGAAAATTAAATCACGTATAATATTAGTAATATATATTACTAAAGAGAATAAAATATACCAAAGTTGACAAGGATTATTTTGAACATAACCCTAAAGAAAACCAATATCAGGCCGACAGAAAAACATAAACAATAATTTTAACGCGATACAGGCTAACAATATTATTAAAATATTATTATTTCGTTTGAATATGATAATTACTAATGTGTTTATATATTCCATAATACAAAATCTCTGGAAGATGTTAACCTAATATTTATTTAACTTAGTAAATATATTTCTTGTATGTACTGGAATAAAGTCGATCAGGCCAAAGGCTGCATGACCATGAATTAACTGTTGTTTCTGATTATGCCAAACCAGGTCGCGCATTATGTTCGGAACTAATATTGTTATCATATAACTCGTAATTCGGTTTTTGATAGGAACGATACCTACGTCGGGTCATGTTAGGAAGAGGGTTACGTTTGAAACAAATTATTTTTTTCAAGTTTCGAACCTAACCAGCAATCGGGTCAGGATTTCGGGTCAGCGTAAGCTGATGTTTCGAAAAGGTTAACTGGCTAAGTGGTGGCACCTATTACGTAATTCTAGTACCTATACTTAATTATAAATCAGGGAACGCGAAAATAAAAGTTTATTATTATTATTTTAAATCTGAGGTATTTCCGTTCCCAAATCAGAATCTAATGTGAAATTAAAGTTCTTCAGTAATGTAGCAAACGATTACTATTTATTTATTAATAAAGTCTTGCAGATATGAATTAATTCATTTTAATTTAAATGACAGAAATGTATCTTTATTTTTAATATGTGTAGACCGTTTTTAACTGAAAAGCAACATGGAATTAAAATGATTTTATTGAATTTTGAAAAATAAGTTTAAAATTATCCAACTATAACATGAATTGTTTTTTAGGTGTGCAATTCCGCTTAAGATATATAACTAAATTATGTACCATCTTTAATAATGGGACCAAAAAATAGTTTTATTTGTTGTTATTGGAAAGTGTCAAATATATGGGTCTCTTGTTGTGTAATATCATTAATTTATAAATCATTGTTCGAGTAATGTGTTAATAAGAGCTTTGTGATTCGCGGTACTTTTTGTGTCAGGACTTTAGTTTTGTCCCAACTTGTATAACTTTAATACATATACAATAATTATTCATAATATACTGTCGTACCTCTTCAAACACCCCAGCTACACAATTTTATAAATTATAACAATTTTTTTCATTTTCTGTCAATGTGTACGGTGTGTGTGTACACTAACGTTATTGTGGCAACATTATAAATGTACACACACACACATGAACACTCGTTTATAAAAACGCGATGCTACTGCTACAAATTTATTGCGAAAGACCACTCTTTTGCTATATGTATAGTCGCAATTGCTCTGCGTAGTAGAGCAAGAGCAAAAACAATATAGGGTTGTCACCAGCCCTACACTGTTTTTAATTTATAAATTAAGGAATATTATTGGCCTTGTGTATATTTATAGTCCGCAGTATGTTAAACTTTATATTTTTATGCGTTCTTCGATAGTGAGAAGTTTAATACCATATCTTTAATGCAAAACTAAGATTTATTGTTTTTAATGTAGCTTTATGACACAAAAAGTACAGGTTACGTGTGTAAAGAATTAGCTTCTGCTACTTATGTACTACAAAATAACTACATAAAAATATATCATGTACTTTACCCTCTATTCCGATAAAGAATTTTGTAACCCTTGTCTATACTAAACTACTCTCTACTTGTCTGTAATAATAAACCGTTGTTTGTAATTCGATATTTTATTTCAAAAATCTACTCTATTCTGCTCACTTTCAGATTTTTGTGTATGGAGTAGGTACACGTGTACCGGTCACCTAATGGTAAATGACTATTGCCAACATGTATGGACGCATGGACACGCCTTCGAGTGATACCTCTCTAAACATGGGACAAAATGACAGTGAACTGTGAATGAACAGTGATTTATCATTTGATTTTTTCATACTTAGGTTAGGGTTATTACTTACTCACGCGTTGTTACCAATAAGCTGTTTTCAGACGATGCATAAAGGCCCTCTTTCACTTATATTACAGTAAATCTAGTAATTTTTTTATTATATATAGCTACCATTCCATACATAATAATTAATTTTAACCTAGCAACCCTAACCTACGTACGCAAAAATCGAATGATATATCACAGTTAACTGTGATTTTGTCCCATGTCTACACCACTCTCCTCTCCCCTCCGAATTTCGGGCTCCGGACTCACTAACTTGGTTAGGACAAAGAAAGGAATGATTAACACAGGTAGTATCACTACAGCCGTCGAGCCGGCCCATTTGTGCCGAAGTACTCCCACGTATAAAATACAATTGTTTTATGCACAGGTATAAAAAATAATTAAAAAGTTTAGCTGATTTTTCAGTTCATTATTCCTGCTGAGCTCACCGAAGCAGTTAGCCACGCGTCATTAAAATAACACGGGTCAAGCACACGTCAAACATGACAAGCACGCTGTATAGGCTCGCTCGCCGTGTTTAGTTAAAAATACGAAAGCCTTTCAATGTTCCGCTTGTCAACCCTAATTTACGGTTTTCATTTACTAAAGGAAATTTACATGAAAAAAAAAATATATCAGACGATAAAAGCATTTCAATTGTAGAATCCCGTAATTTTGAAGAGTATCATTTTTTACAGTTCATAAGAATTAAATGTGTTGTAGAATGTTTTATAGCTGTTACCGCCATCTCACTTCAAAATGGAAGGAACCTAAGACGAAATTTAATTTGCGGGAAATGAGCGTAAACTCTCTAAAAAGAAGAATATGGGGGAGCGTGAAGAGGTGAATAGCGTGATTAAGAAAAGTATGTTTTGGGCTGGATTTTTAATATTCATAATTTGAACTCCTTTTTCCCTAGTAGTTAAGGGAATTTTGAGTTAGGACACTGGCACTTTTTTTTTAAATGAGCCCGTTATAAACATTGTAACTATGTAAGCGTTTTTTACCCAAATAAATAAATGAAACAATATCTCCTTTGGATCAAACTAGACAGTTGCAAATAAATAGATATATGAGAAAACAAATCCCATTAAGATTATAGCTTAAACTTTCGAAAAAGATGTTTATAAATTATAGGTATAATTTTAAATCTTGGTTATTTTTAGTTGCGAATTAAGATGTTTAGACTTTAATTTTTGATGATGACATGACATCATCACCAGCCTAACGCAGTACACTGCTGGACCTAGGCCTCTCCCGCCACTTAGCGATTTTGGGCTTCTCGCATCCAGCTCCTGCCAGCCATCTTGCGCAAATCGTCACTCCACCTGGGCGTCCTATACTACGTTTGCCGAGACGCGGTCAAAAAAATAATAATATTCAAAACCTGTCCTTTTCCTCTCCTTTGTGATCGTAAATAAAATCAAAATGGTCAACCATCCAGTGTTTGATTAAAAATATTTATTTAATAAGTTTTTCATTTTTCGTCAGTAAACTGGAGAAAATTGTTTTCTATTTTTCATCTAGTTCCACGGTGATTCCTCCGAATTGGATAAAAACTTTGAAAAAATGTCTATTAAACTATATGTCCTTAAATGTGTCACTAGTATTTATAAGTTTGTAACAGTCATTTTAGTATTTATCCACAAAAATGTATAATATAACCATGGCCATCTTTCGTAAACGGTAGAACACTTGACTCCTAAAGAGCCCGAATTTAGCTCTCATAGAATTTACCAGGGCACAATCTGATAGGATAATTGAGTATAGCTTAAATAAAATTATAAATCAGTCTTCAAGAGTAGTATAGTAGTAGTAGATAAAGTACCTGCCTTATTAATTTAAGGTTTTCATTTTTAAATTAAACACTGAAAGTAAACTCAGCAAAGAAAACAAATTTTAAAAGTTAAGTTTTGGCGTTTAATAAAAGTAGGTACTTTACCTCAACACTAATTGATCGTAAGTCGTTCTGTGGAATTCGATCTTATAATAAAGTAGACAGAAACTGATTTCAGTTGACCGAAAACCTTTTTTTTCTTATCTTTTCTAATAGTTAACAAAACTACATAAATGGTTAACCAAAGTCACTTCATCATTATACATTTACACATATTCATAGTTTAATAGTCCACTGCTGGATATAGGTCTCTCCTTAGAAAGGAGGATTTGCCCTACTACACTATTCTGGGTACACGGCTCGGTATAGGGTTTGTTTCAAGTTTTCCTTCTCTTTGCAATGCTGTTATCCTGCAGAGTTTGCAACCTTAGGCGGCTCTAGCCACACTCATGGGATGAATAGGGGTGGTGACACTCCGTATTCTTAAACTGACACTACACGGATGGATGGAATATTTACATATTTTTTTATATCATGATGTTTTTTCTCAATGAACAGATTCCTTTATCTCAACGTCTGGTAATATATTATTATCATAAATGTTTAAGCTAAAACAGTTGTAACATATTCGTTTCAAGACAAATCTGTATCCTTTTTTAGTACACTGTTAAGACGCCTTTTGTATTTTCCATCTACCTTTTTTTCGGAAACATCATGTCTATCACCATGAACTAGAACAAACATTTATTTTAATTATTTTGTTAACAATATCCTTTACCTTTTGTGTTGTTGGTTGAGCTTTAGCTGCGAATTAGGAGGTATTCTTTTAACCAGCAAAGTTACAGCTCACTTTATTCATGTTATTTTTTATGGCATCATTTTAAGTACCATCGCACAATACGTGCGGCCTACGTATAATGAGCGAGTGTTAAAATTATCTCATAATCTAAATACATATATAAAGTAACGCAAGTACCTAATTCTAAAATTTAATTGTATTCTTAAATGCCAACGTTGTTTCTCAAGGTTTAAATAGTCCATACACAAATTCTTTTTAATTTGCTTTGAGAATTAGCAAAGGAAAGGAAGTCTTTTATGGACTAAATTGTTCTTATCCAGGCATATTTTATAAATGTGAAAGTGAGTTTGTTTGTTACGCTTTCACGCCTAAACCCCTAAACCGATTATAAAAACTCTTCCATCAATGGTAAGCTACTTTATCAGCGAGTAACATAGGCTACTTTTTACCCCAATAACCGACACATCCAAGCGGAGTAATAAATTATACATTTTTAAAGCGAGTAACATAGTTTTATACTTACTGTTAAATTATTCAATATTTTGAAAATAATTGCATTTACAAAAAATATTCGATATCGTAAAACACTTCTCTTTTTTTCTGTTTAGAACTGTGAAGAACGTTACAGTCTTACCATAGAATACATTACAAATTCTTCAGCTACTCCAGTAAATGACTCCTGCGGAGTACAGACTGGTACACGCCTCGTTACACGCGCTAACTGACCGAATAATGACGTAATCACTGTACTTAGAAGAAGGTTTCATTCGTATACTCCAACAATACAAGTATATACTTAGTATTATAGGACTTATTACGAAACCTAATCACCATAGGCGGAAGGGTTGTATTTCATACCCGTCGGGCTTATTGCTCGAGATACTATTAGATAACTAAATTGATCGTGGAGTTAGATTCTTAAATGATATTAAAAGTGTTAATTGGCAATTATATATTTTATTAGTCATCTTGTAATACAGCAGACTATTCGATAAGACGTTGACTTTTGCTCAAGTGATGACAGGCTAGAATCCGACAGCGCTGTTAAGTTCACGTCGCTATTATGTCAGTTACGTGAAGTCACTTCTCACAGTAGTAGATATGTATTTTTTTACTTAGGATTGGCTTATAATTATTTTGAAGGTAATATCGCATTCTTTCCGTTACCTGCGAGTATTCATTTTTGAACATCAAAAATTTCACTACCGCGTTGTACTTTAAATCATTTTAAGTTAATTTAAAAAGACTGAACTCAATTATTGAATAATTAAATTGACTATGATTACATTTCTTTTGAAAATTATATCCTCAAAGTTTCGGTAGCATTTTATCTTACTGTTTTATTAATTGATAAACATAATACACAAACTCTTACCAGTTCTCTTAGCAGAGAGCTCAGATACCTTTCCAGACAAAATTTAAGACATTACTATGTAACTTCTATTATTGAGCATTTGTCATTATGTGTTTTCTGATTGATGAAATCTAATGAAGGATGCTACTAAATCTATTCGTGACGTCTTCTTTACATTTCGGTAAAGAAATGCCCAAAAATAAAACAGCTTTAGACAGTTGAAGAAATCTTAGTAAAAGTTCATTGAATATTTGGTGTGAATACTCAGGCGTAAAGGTTGCAAATTTGGGATCGACACCAGTGAACCATTACTGTTTATTTTATATCACACGAATTTTATGAAAATATATATTGCCAAAACCTCTTTTCTAAGAAAAGGGCATATGTCCAGCAGTAGACTATTAAAGGCTGTTGATGTGATATATTGAGACCAAAAAGTTTTGTGATTTAGATCGTGGGGACATTTTAGCTATGTAATTACGTAACGTACGAGTATTAATATAAACGTCCGAAACGAATGTGCAAGTAATTACTTTGAAAATGGGTAAATTAATAATTATCAATATTCTCTTAATGTAAGTGATACGAATAAATATAGTCTTTTCAAAAGTACAGGCGTATTTAAACATCCACATTTTGCCAACTATGATTTCGTCCACTCACCTAATCATTAGGAAAATTTGTAATAATACATCAATTTTCCTAGCTGTAAGCTCTTGTTAAGTAATTAGTATCTCAGTAGCTACGTATTACCTATAGCTATCAATTCAGTAATGATGTTATTGAAAATATAAAGTATACTTAAGTAACACTATTAGGCAATTTTAATAGGTCTATAACATACATAGACACAAATGTTGACTTTATTTTAGTTACCGCAGTCTCAGTCAAGTTTCCCATTTCAGACTTGCGTTTTCATTGCCAGGAGGTTAATAGGCTTACTTTCTCTCTCGTCTGAAAACGTTTAACAAAGAGGACCCCATCAGGAATGTACCTGGCCATAATATAAATCTCATACATTGCTCAGAACCCAAATACCATTTGGAAAAAGGGCAAGAAAATTATGATAATAAATATATAAATAGGTATAGATTATATGCCACAAGGCGCTACGTATGGTTAATGATAGCTGACAGAAAGCGTTTATATTATTTTCTAGATATCTCAGCAAATTTTGACAACTTAATTACTAACTTAGTAAAAGTTTTGATCTTCGTAAATGGCAACTTACTTATAAGCACGAAATTGGTCACTCAAACTGCTTGAAGAATTCCAAATTATTCATATTAAGTTCTGTCTAATAGAATCTGAATTCATATTTCGAAAAGAAATGATGTTTTTAATAGACAATGTATTTGACTGATATATTACACAACCTGAACAATGTTTGGTAAACAACAATTTAACTTATTAATTAAATTAAAAAATGGCAGTCTTTTATCATACTTGAATAATTTCAACTTTCTTTAGTCCTCGAGTTGTCTTCAGTTGTTCGCTGCAAACTTTTCAAAAGAAGATTTATTAACCTTTTCTGTAGTCTTTCCGAATTTATCCCACTGGTGTTCTGTCTCATTTGTGTATAGTTTAGTTTTATATCATCTATTAATATCATGGACTTAATTTTAAATAGTCTTATCTGCTCTTCTGTCATTGTTTCTAATTCAGGTAATAGACTCATAAGAAACATTTTCATAGCACTATTATTGTATGGACTCGCTCCATCATTTTGTGTGACATCATTTTTTTGACTTGATGTTATTTTTCCTCTATGTTTCATTACTTCTGTTAAGTTTCTTCTTCCTGCTGGTACAAAACGTCTTCTGCGACGGACCACTGGTGATCGTCGTGTTAGCAAGTCGCTCAGAATACGATTTTCGGCGTTAACTTCTGTATTTGCATCATTTTCTCCATATTCCTCAGGTTCTGCTTTTATAAAGTCTACTACGACCTCTGTGTCATGTGTAACAATATTTGATTGTGTTTCGTAATGACTGTCATCTGCGTTCTCAATATTTATAGGTTTCAGAAACGGTAATATAAACTTTAAATATTCGGTCAAGTAATACGGCTTTTTCACTTTTGATCCGCTGGGTTTCATACTTCTTAGAAAAGATGATCTTATATTTCGCCATTTTTCTTTGCAGTCGCTGACTGAAATGAAAAAAAAAATGTTATTTATAATAGCAGGTTCCTTATTAAGTTTTTACATCATTTTATGGGTTTTGATTTAAGCGCCACCTATTTTTTGTGAGCGTAAACAATAGAATAGGTATGGAACAGGGTTTGAGTACGAAGTGTTTGTCCTGAAATTTGGCAAGTAACGCTTGAATATTATCTCAGTTTGAGAACAAAGAATGAGCTACTAATATTTAATATCTTTTTGTAAGTTAGTAGAGTTTTCGTTTACATACAATATTCATTTTTTGTTAAGAGGTAACTGGTGGGATACCAAATTTATTTCGTATCGGGAAGCTCTCGTTGCCTTACTCACAAATAGAAAAATAACAATACTATTGAACTACTTCACCGGGCGGCTCCAGTTTGAGCTGTAAACTGCGCTTACGGCTAAATGTTACTGTTTGAATTATTATCCTAAATAGTTAAGTTATTATGTTACGTGTAGCTGTCATTCTTAATAACAACTACTTACATTAGATTATTAAAAATAGTTCCTTAGACACTTGTATTCCAAGTTCACTATTCTATTGTAACATTACTCTTTGGGGTTCAGCAGACTATGGCTTAATGGTTATTTCTTCTACAGTCATGTCGTCTTATTTGATAAATATCAAGCCACAGTTTAATTTAAAAAAATCGTATAGTCTATCTCGACCGTGATACTGGATGAAATTAAAAATGGCTCGAGCAACAACGCCCGCCATCAACTGTTACGGAATGCTATTACAATAGACAAAAAACAAATATGAATCCAATACACTACGGAGTCGAGAAACAAATGAATAACCGGCTAAATATAGCCCACGATGTATACAATACAAAGATGACGTCACGTCACGAGTTGTACTCACTTGATAAATTTGTGTTCGCAGCAATGTTTGCCCACGCTTCGTCAACCAAGTCTTTGCGGTTGTATTCCGGTAAATTAAAATTGTATAGGAATTCAAACTTCTCAATTTGATTTATTAACAGTATTTCCATAGACATTTTTAAATAAACCATATAACGTGGGATAAATGATGCGACACAAATAGGCAGTGCGCGACAGCGGTGCGGCGTGCGGACTGTAGATTGGCTGCCGCGCCGAAAGTGTGTCGCGTCCCCCCCGCGCTGCTTCGCCCCGTGCCGCGCCGCGTGTATTCGGTAATGCTCGGTATGTGTCGTGTATGCCGAGCGTGGGTCGACTCGGCTACAGTGGTTATCGACCTGTGCCGATACCGCGATGCGTGCTTATATCAAATGACTCAATATTATTATTGCACCATACAGCACGCAAAAATACTTCTGCATTATATCTAAGCATTTACTTTGCATGTTATGGTAGCATATATTATTATTTTGTTTATAAATAGGTAAAGGAAAGTACTTCATCCGGTGCATACATAGTCTTCTTGGTCTATGTAACGGGGGGGTAAACGAATAGACGAGTCACCTGATGGTAAGTGGTTGCCTCACCCATGGTCACATAGACAGGTTAGGTTAGGTCCTAGGTTACCTCGAACTGGCAGAATTTTGACTCTCCGAAAAATAATTTGCATAACACACTTGGCATAGTCTTCTTTTAACGAATAATTTTTAAGAATTTAAAATTCCATACTTTTAAGATATACATTTAGAATCGCTGCATAACCGAATCCACCTAGTCTTGTCTGTCCTATCCCTAGAGTGTAATTTAAGCCCGCATAGGCCTGAAGCTGGTCAGCAAGAAGTGGTGATCGCGGAGCACCGGAGCTGTGACAGAAATCATGTCTGTTGCTGTCTTTCAATTATTATGAATATGAAATGTATGCCAAATGATGATTTTAACTGTGAACACTCCGATATGATAATTCTACTTTTTAAATACTATGATTATTATTAAAGATGATTCTGACTTACACAATTATGAGTTTCGAATGTATAAAAGAGAGAATGCCAGACGATTTTCTAGGACATGAAGTTGAAATACCATCTGTTGATAAGTAAAATAATATTATGATATAAAAAGTTCTGCTATAAAGAATACACCCGTTGCTTCTACGGTAACCTCACTTATTCGGTGGAAAGTGAAGTGAGAATTGTAAGCAATTCTCACTTCACTTTCCACCTTCAGCATGTAAGCATGCTGAAGGACGTTTTATCTCTTGAAACGGGATCCCGTCAGATCAAACACATGTGAAAAAAACAGTTCTTTTTTAAAGACACCTCCCTTTTTAGGAATATATATCCTGTGTCGCGGGAGACTTTACAAACATACATGAAATGGACAGAAAGAACACCCAGACTCAGTACAACAATTTTGTGGATCACGCAAAGTGTTGTCCCATGTGAGGATCGATCAACGTAGTAGGAAGCGGCGTGGCGACCGCTTAAACCACTAAGCCATCCGTGAAGTCAATATATTGGTAATAAATAAGCATGAAGAAAACGAAACAAAGACGCTTCGCACTGCACTAAATAGAATATTACACCTCTTTTGCTTTTACTTTATTTAAGAATATATTTTGCCCATCAAAAACTAACTGGGGAAGCAAAAAATAGGTCGTGAACAAAACAATTTTTAGCGGTATAAATACTGAGGATCATTACTGAGATACTGAGGATTAAAAGTATTGTTGACCTGGTTGTGTCAACAATACTCTGAGATCTCTCGAGGTGCGACACAGCTACAGATAATGACGGCTATATCAATTGCGCAGACTGAGGAATCACCAGTCTCTTTCGTAATGAAACGAGGCTCTTTAACCGACTTCAAAACAGGAGATTCTCTATTAGGTTTTTTTTTTCATGTGTTTTTGCCTCAGAACTCCATTATTTATAAGTAATTTGAAAAACATATTTGGGAGGGTATAAGGGCTTTTAATGATTGGTCTCATTCAAATTTGTAAAGAAAATAGCACTCCTAGGGTTTAAAGTTAGTAGGTAGGGTAGGTCGGTCACATTTCGACTGATACAGTTACTCTTTGGATTGCTTTGGTGAGTACATGAATCGGATCGGACGCGGGGAGACGGTACAAAACAAGCACTGGGCAGCCAACTGGGAACACCAGTGTCGGTAATTCCCCGTAGTTTCATCTGCATTTTTAGTCACTACACTGCTCCTTCGCTCTGCTCCACCGCGGTAAATTACATCTTAAAAAAAACGTAAAACTTAGCATATGTTACGCGCTGATCATGTAGCTTTCTATTGGCGGAAGAGCTTTTCAAATTGTTTTAGTGGTTTAGGTGTGAAAGCATAAGACTTAAACAAACACTTTTAAATTAGAAAAAGTCATTTAAAAATAATACTTTTTTTGAATGACTCTATTGTAGACTTTAGAAAACAATAACTTGATCTTTCTGAAAATTCGAGAGAAAACAAGGCAATTTCAAATGCAAGCACCTTCAAGTGTCTTCACTATCTTTAAGAGACACATTTATTAGACTTATTTAATCAATGTCTCTCATCCCTCTTCAATTAGAACAGAGCCTGTATTTACTAACAACATGAATAATTATCGGCGATAAGCTATTCGCAAATGGATGAGTTCACTACCTGATTAGGCAATTATGTGCAGAGCGTCTAATTATATAAATACTAACTTATTCCTACTGATTTGCTCGCGTTAATGTCGATTTTGTCAATCAATTTTTCCTAAGTAATGGTTCATGAATAAGTAGTGTACTTTAAATACAATAATCTGCATGTGCTAAGTTTATCCTAATCTGTTCATCCGTTCTGGTGTAAAGGAGTACCAAACATCCACAGCCATGAGAGAGCCATACTTCGGATTAGAATACCGGATCGGTGTTAAGCCTTTTTTCAGTACTACTAATCGCGGAGTGAGTGTGATATTTCGAATGTACGAACGTTTTTTGGAAATTTTTCTTTGATCAACGTTTCACAAACTTTGTGATTTAATAAGACATCTTGACATACGAGTATCTGTGATTATTTGAACAACATTTTGCATAACAATAACAACAATAACAATAACAATAGCATTTCAGAAACGGTAAGACTGTTAATTCTATCTCTATTTACCTTTACTCATATGTTCTATGTCAAATTTTAAAATGCATCACAATAAAAATAATATGTATGATCTTAAAGCATTGCAAATATCTAACTTAGTGCTGTATGAACGTTGATTTTCATTTTTACTTAGAGCAATACGTTTATGATTATGAAGATACCAAATGAGGTTAAATCGAGGGCTCGCGTTGCAATCTGTATTAATGCGGTATTAGACTGTGATTGACCACATATTGTGGTTGATATTTAATACGTGTAGTACAATTTCACTAATGAAAATAGGTGAAAAATACATTAAAGACGCGAAGCCTAAAAATGGCATCGTCATCAACAGCCTTTTAGTTCACTGCTGGACATAGACCTCTCCTTGGAAAGAAGGTTTTGGTCTACTATACCAAGCTGGCCAGACTTGTAGGTAGGTAGGGGTAGGGTAGGTAGGGTTTGTTTCAAAGTTTTCCTTCTCTTTGCAGTGCTATTGTCCTGCTGAGTTTGCTCACTGAGTCAGCTCTTAAGACACCCACGGGATGAATATGTGTAGACAAAAATGTATAGACTGTAAAATAAAAAGCTAAATTTGAATTCAAACAATATCATTAAGTAATATAAAATGCCACCAATCAGATGTGACAACTAATTACTGCAATTTAATAGTGGCTGGGTTCGCTTATAATCTAAACAAGGCATGATGTGTTAGTGATTAGGTATCAGGGTAATTACAGGATTCAATTTGGCTATATTTTTGTTTATATTTATAGCCATTCCACATCATGTCCACTTAGACAAACTTATTTGCAAAATTTCTCTGATATTACGAGTACTACTATGTTAAATAGGTTGTGTATATTATAATTATCGACTCTCTGCCAATTCCCTGCCGATTTAAAAATGGTTTTGAGTAATTTCTTTTATAGCCGGCCTACTATTTGACACCAAATTTCATAGGGGAATGTAATATTTTTCAGATGCTATTGGGAGGACGAAATATGGATAAGGAAAACGATTAGGGAGAAGAAGTTAGAGTTAGGAGAATCAGAAGTCGGGGATGGCGAAACGGAACAAAATGCAATAGCAATGTGTTTTTAAGACACATTTTTTACTTGTGTATAATAACTTTCAAGATATTGTTTAGAAGTAAGTATTTGACTGCCATTTTTTTTTTAATGTTTTGTAATAGAGAATTCTTAATAACTAACAGTGTAGTAACAATAATTCTAACAATAATTCTAATTCTAACAGTGAAGCACCCGATTAAGTCCGGGTGTTTCAAAATGTATAAAGTGTGTAATAATATAGTCTCTACACACTATACACATAAATATCATCTATTTTAGTATTATAAACTAGGAATAACAACATATTTTACAGAGCCGGCTTGATGTGCGTGACATCCTTATCATGGCAAACCTTCATAGTAACAGTTAGACGGTTAGTTATTTATAATTAATTTCGTTCTGACCGTGCTCTACATAAAGTGCCCCATGTCGGAAAAACTTTTAATTTCAGGGACTACTTTTAATTAAAATTACTTTTTTGTTGAACTTTTTATGAAGGTATTGTGCACCTACCTCACAATACTTAAGCTATAAAAGAATGGCTTTGAATACGTTTTGTGATAAGAATATTAATTTCCCTTTAAGGTGCGTATTGCTTATTATATTACATAGCTTATTACAATGAATACCTTCACTAATGAGTTTTCTCGAATTTGATTCATAGTTTGTTCTAGTCAACATACATATATTAATGTGTGGCACGACGCGACGTGGTCCGCGCGCGCCTCTCTAAACCGGAAAGAGGGCAGAGCCCTCTGCACTTAATGGTGTGGCTGCCACTAGCGGCCACCTTTTTAGGTTGCGCTAGTGGCAGCCACGCGCGTTGTCCTTTGCAATAGACTCACATGTGACTGAACAAATCACTTCATCATGAGGTGATGACCCGTGGTGGTTAGTAAGGTTAGTTTAGGTACGAAAAAAGCTCATGATTATGTACCCAT